TGATTTCCACCCCCCCTCACCCCCTCCCCACACCACCCACCACCCCCCCCAGGTCCTTTCTTTGTTAGGAAAGGCAGAGATCAGGCCATCCCCAGAGAAACGAGCAGGTGTGGCCATTTACCAGCACGTCTGCTTATATTAGAAACCGACCTAAGAAAAGTTGGAAATGGCTTGAAAAGCTCCGCCGAACACTTTTGAATGTTTCACCCCAAATCCTCTTCACTCCAACGAGGTCGCCGTAAAACCCAGCCTGCCCAAACCTTAAAAGCTGGTGGAACTTTATTATTTTTTTATTATTTTTTTTATTATTATTATTATTTCTGTCTTCTCTACTAACTGAATTGGTACATTTGGGTAATCCCTGCCTCTGGACAAGCCCAGAAGCCCTTTTCTTTCTGAATGGCTAAAACCAGAGCCGTTCTTCCCATCTCATGATGAAGGAGGTGACAGGAAAGTTCTTTCTCTTGGACCTCGGACCCGTTTGAAACCTCACGGCGACGGGGATCGCTCCATTCTGGTTTAATTTCGTAGCACTGATTTACCACTTCTCCGTCCGTCTGTCTGACCTCTTCCTCCGAGCCACAGAAGCCCAAAGGCCACTTTTGTTCCCCTTGCCCCTTCCCAGCTCAGCAATCCCCCCTTTTCCCTCACTACCTGCGTGTCTCCAGCTCTTCTGAAGCGCTGGTGGAGCCCGAACAGCACCGTGGTCCCCAGGGTGATCAAAGATTTAATCTGACCAGATGGGACAAACTTGAGAAAGATTTTGACTTTCCACTCTGTTTTGCAACAAGAAAGGCTGATTTCCACCCCCCCTCACCCCCTCCCCACACCACCCACCACCCCCCCCAGGTCCTTTCTTTGTTAGGAAAGGCAGAGATCAGGCCATCCCCAGAGAAACGAGCAGGTGTGGCCATTTACCAGCACGTCTGCTTATATTAGAAACCGACCTAAGAAAAGTTGGAAATGGCTTGAAAAGCTCCGCCGAACACTTTTGAATGTTTCACCCCAAATCCTCTTCACTCCAACGAGGTCGCCGTAAAACCCAGCCTGCCCAAACCTTAAAAGCTGGTGGAACTTTATTATTTTTTTATTATTTTTTTTATTATTATTATTATTTCTGTCTTCTCTACTAACTGAATTGGTACATTTGGGTAATCCCTGCCTCTGGACAAGCCCAGAAGCCCTTTTCTTTCTGAATGGCTAAAACCAGAGCCGTTCTTCCCATCTCATGATGAAGGAGGTGACAGGAAAGTTCTTTCTCTTGGACCTCGGACCCGTTTGAAACCTCACGGCGACGGGGATCGCTCCATTCTGGTTTAATTTCGTAGCACTGATTTACCACTTCCTCCCCCCGCCCAGGCTATGGACACACGAAAGAATTTTCTTTTTAACCATCAAATAAAAGCTGCTCATGGGATTGTATTTTTTTATTTTTAATGGGTTATCACACTCCTGGTGTGAAACTCCCTTTGGACCCTCCCAAAACTCTGACTGAAAATCCCTGGCAGAGGTGGTTTTAGGTTGGTTTTTTTTTTTTTAAAGATTGGCAGAATTTTCTGTGATGTCAGGAGACGGGGCTTTTGGGGGTGGTTGGGGTCTGGTTTTCTCATACCCCCCAGCAAAACTCCATCTCTCTCAGTATTTCAGTGAGTTGGTCAGGTCTCAGCGATGGTCTCGGCAGCCACCCCGCCAGCGTTTCACCTTCGCCTTCCCAAATCCTTCCCAAATCCAGGGGCTCGTTCTTTTTTTTCTTTTTTCTTTTTTTTTTTTTGGCCAGAGTACTGTCACTCACCCTCTCGCAGCCGTCTGCGGCGAGTACAAAAAGGACCCCCTAATGGCAGCCATTTTTATTTGTTTCTTAAGATCCAAAGGCTGCTGAAAGCACAATTGGATAAAGTTGAGGATTGGAGAAGCCTGATTTTCTTGTTCCAGTGAAATGAAACTCCGGCCTTTTTCTTTTTTTTTTTCCTTTTTTTTTTTTTTCCTTCCCTGCCTTCCCCTTAAAAGCCGGAGCCTGCGCGGGGGTTGTGGCTGTGTCAAAGCCGTTGGGATGCCACTGCTGATCACTTTAATTACTAGGACTAAGGAGGATAAAATTAAAAGTAGCACCATTGAAGCAGTGGAAGAAAGCTCGCCGAGATGTCGGTGAACTGTGAAATATAAAAATTGCATAGCAATACGTTTTTATAGGAGGGGAAACAAGGAATTACATTACTTATTCTTCAAGAGTTTGTCCTTAAATGGGGAAGTTTCCCTCCCCGTGCATCCGCCTGGCGGATCCTTAGACCATTGCAAAGGAATTGGGGGAAAAATAACCCAGCCAACTTTAACGTCTCCTTGGCGTGTCAGGTTCATGTCGGGGGGGCAGAGATTTTTTTACTGAGTCTTCTCTTCAACTGTACAGGAAAAAAAATAACCGCTGGAGGTGCATTTGCGTGGTCCTTTCTGGGAGCAGAGCTTATCTTTGTGTCTCCTGGTTGGTTTTTTTTTTAAATATCTACGTTCATGCCCCCCTGAGCCCTTTCCTTTCCAGCATCTCGGGGATTGAGTTGCCGTTTCATAATTGTTCTGTACCTCAAAACTTAACCCCCCCTCCTTTTTCTGCTCTGTGTTTCCTCCCTCCTTCCACCGAGCTGGGTAATGGAGGGTTCAAATACCTGAATTGAATTTTTAGGAAGGACTGGGCTGGTTTTTTTTTTGGTTTTTTTTTTTTTCCCCTCTTATCCGCTGGTGATGATTGGCTTAATCAGCACAAACACAAGCCACAATAATCTGTGTTTGCATGGAGATCCCCGGGATGTTAATGACTATGCTAATAATTCAGGATACAAGTTCTCTTTCAGGAGGAGAGGAGAAAAGGAGAATTGGGGGGTGAGGGGGTGGGGTGGGGGGACTCGGCCTGCTCATGAGGGCACGTTAGTCACAAACATTATAAAATTATTTTAAACTATAGCAGATTAAACTGTCTGGTGTTAAACCACGTGGGGAACCTTCACGCAAATTTTGCGCCTTCCTTTTTAAAAATCATTGGAATCAAAGCCCTACATCCCAGGAATTACAGGCAGGGGAGATTGGGGAGGGGGGGTTTAGTTCGTGTAAAATTTGCTGTGATTTATCTTCACCCAGTACCGGGGGCTTGAAATCAACCCGGTTGCCCTGCAAGTTCTCTGGCTGGAAATGGAATTAAAGGGGATAGCGGATGGGGAGGGGGGGGGATGCTTTCCAGTTGCCTCTCCACTGTGTACTTTACCAAATTAAGTTGGTTTTTTTTTTTTTTGGTTTTGATAGCACTGTTGCTGTGGGAAGTTGTGGGGCGGGGGGGGGGAAAGGCAAACAAAGCCCCTGTGCCATCCACCCGGCTGCCTGGCAGAATTGCCTTTCCAGGGGAAGGAGATTTGAGGAGCCGAGTAAATCCCTGGGAATCTGATAGGGAAATCAGTGCCCTGTCACTCCCGGCCCGAGATACCGCCGCTGTGTCCATACGCCTGTGTTTACTGTAGGGTTTGATGAGTTGTAACCTGCCCATGCAAGCTGTTAATGAGGCTAAATCTCGCTGCTCGAGGACTGAATTACAGCACACCTCTGGGCTTAATGGTTATAAACAGAAAGTCCCATTAGGGCTGCATTCGGATGCAGGCATTTGCATTTCTCCTATTGTGCCGCCAACAATGATGAGTAAATAGCTACAAACAAACAATTTGCATGGAAATGGGGGAAACGTCCCTAATTAGTATTTTGTGCTCGTTTTATTAATGATCGCTTCAACTAACTAACTAAGGCTCAGCGGCAGCTCCCAGCAGCGTCTGCAGGTGTGGGATGCTCAGTTCCTGGGCTGGTGGGAAGGCTGCCAGGTCGGCTCTCCAACATCAGAATTTCTTAGAAATTAGAATTTTAGAATGTTAGAATTTCTCTCGGTTCGGGTCAACCGCCTGGTACCTGGGGTTTTGTCCCGCTCCTTCTGGCAGTGATAGGAATTTAGGAGGAGATGTGACTTGTAGCCAAACGCTGGATTTGTTGCACTTTTAATACTGAGGGGCAGGGCAAAAACAGTCCTAACTTCAAAAAAAAAAAAAAATTGTATTTTTAGGGGTAAAACTGTCTTAACTTCGGACAAAAAAAAAATAATCCTGTTTTTAAGGTGAAAACTGAAATTGTTTCCCTTATGGTTTAATGGATTCTTATAGCTATGTTTTATTAATTTTTATTTTTTTTTACTACGGTGGGTTAGTCATTTCCAAAATTTCACGTGGTAGAACTTTGCTCGTTTATGTAACTGAAATATTATCGTGCTTCTAAGATCGTTAGGGGCTTTAGTGGGACAGCACTATCTGGGATGGTTCCAGTGTGATCTCTTCAATTACTGACCAAAGCCCCACAAGTAGGATGTTTTAAACCGATGTGAAGTCTTTTCTGCTCTGGCATCTGTTCTTTCTTTCATTTTCATTAGTGTTTTGTTGTTTGGTTTTTTAAAAAAATATGTATCCATTGAAGTAGAAGGATTAGGTTCCTTTCCGTGCCCAGATGCGATGTCACTTTGCACTTTGGAATCAGCTTGGTGACGGGGGTAACCCAGAGCAACATCTGGCTTCTCATTCCGCTTCTAGGAGAGAATATTACCCCAAGAAATAATTCAATTTAGTAAAACCATTTTTATTGCCATGGTAAAACTTTGTCTAGTTATTACTTTGAGACAAAAGTAATAATTTTCGTCAAGGTATTTTTACGGAACACAATTTATAAATGCTTTAAATTGCAAATAATTAGGTTTCTAACGCATTAATAATTTGAGGAATGCTTTTTTTTTAAAAAAAAGAAAAAAAAAATCTGTTTCATGGATGCCTTTAAAAATTGTGGTGTGACACCCAACTGATATCGAGCATCCTATTTATAATGTGGGCCAAGCACCATGCTGTAAACCAGTTACTATCATGATGATCAGATTGAGAATGAAATTGCATTTCTGTCAATTACTGAGTTGGCAACTGTTCAATATATCTTAGCAGCAAGATGAAGAGCGGCGTCGGCAGCTGAGAGAGAGAGCTCGTCAGCTAATAGCAGAAGCTCGATCTGGAGTGAAGATGTCAGAACTTCCTAGCTACAGTGAAATGGCTGCGGAAAAGTTGAAAGAAAGGTCAAAGGCATCTGGAGGTGAGCTGAGGAACCTTCTCTCTTATTCCTATGGCAACCCGGGAACCCGAGACCTTTTTGGGGTATCGCTTTTATTCACCCTTCAAAATGCTGTTGTTCGTCAGGGGCGCCTTGCAAAAGCCCTGATGCGTTGATAGACCAGAGATATGTTTCCTAAATCAATGCTGTGTCACTCAATTTCCACCGATTAAAAGAAAAGCATATACATGATTAAAAGAAGAAGATCTAACGTGAACAAGTAGCTCACATTGACCAATTTGTCATAACCCACGTTTTTTTAGAATTTTCTGATTGTTGGTTAAAAGCTCTTCAATATATATTTTTATAAAGGCACATGGCCCTAATGTTGGGGGGAAACAACATTCAAAATACTTAAGAAACTTTATTTTGTATTAGATGTCTTCTGCTTGGGAAGAGCCATTTAAAGGTGGCTGATGGGAGGTGGGGGGCAGCAACCTTTTGATTTCCAACGGCAGTCTTTTGACGCACCACTTGCCTTTACAGGTTTTGAGTTGTAATGTTGCTCTAATGTTATTAAACTGACTTTGAAATGTCATTAAAATGCATATACCTGCCAGTGCTAGGAGCTGGAGTAATGTGATGTCACTCAAACCCAACCGGGTGCTGAGCAGGCGTTTCAGTCCAGGCTTCATGCTCTTTTGGTGGCATCTACGTATTCTAAGGGTAAATGGTATTTCTCCTACTAACATGTGATTGGAAGCCAAAGTGTCAGGAACATCCAGCTCTACCTTCACAGTGCATGTAGATTCAACAACAGTATTTTTTCCTTCTCTACTACATGTGTTTTATATGCACATATGTTTAAATATAGTCTCATTAAATATAATCCTATAGACTAAACCCTACGCTTCTGTTCCATGAAGAGAAAAGCAAATGGTCAAACATCTCCCTTGGGTCTGCTCTTCAGTTTTCCTTTTTTTGCCCAGTAAACCCAGCTTTGTCCACAGAACTCTCTTTCTTGATAAATAAGAAAATTACGTCCTCGGTGGGGAGGGAGTGAGATGGGTTGAGGAAAATGGCACGGTACGTGTATGTTGAGTAGACTATGGTGTTCTTCATCCCTCTTCACAATTTATGACTCCCCATTCTACGTTATTTAATTGCCTCCTCCTCACTGCTTTGTCATGTCTGTATGTAGCTGTTCCCTCCATCTGTCCCCTCGAAGGAAGGTACGTTTTCTGGGAATATCCAGAGTAAAAGTATTTATCTGTGTAGATTGCACATGCACTCAGAGAGGTCTGGTGTTATTAAAGGAGGAGACAATATCCATACTGATGACAACTTGTTTATAAAGTTTATCACCACTCTACCTGTTGGGTATTACCCAGTCTAACAATGTCACTCCTTTCTGCTTTTGCATGTGTTTTGAGTTATCTCCTTGGTTTATATTTCCTCCATTGATTTTCCTTCGTTCCTACAGTAGTTTGGCCAGGCTATTTCAACTTCTCTTGGACTCCCAGTTTTCATTCCCTGGCTTCCTTTTGTTCCTCTTTGCTCTTTTCGTGTCACTGTGCATTTGATAGCACTTCCCTCTACTTACTCATTCTCAAAAAGCTTTCCTTGTGGCACGTCTTCCACCAGCTTCTCCCCCACCGCTGGTTATTTCAGGGGCCACGCTAGATCTCCACTCAAGGAATTCAGTCATCCAAAGTGGAGTAGTTCTGTGAAATGGCACCAATACTTTATAAGCCAAATAAATTATAATTGTTTCTGGGTTTAGTCTTTTTCTTTTTTTTTGATTTCCACCAAAAATTAGGATTTAATTGACGATCTCTTTATAACAACTGGATTCTGAATGTTGCCCCTGCATGCTTTCACATGTAGTAGGTCTTTTTTCTGCGTATAGTCCTGTATTCCCTATACAATACCCAAGACAAGCTTATAGTAATATCTTATGTCTCCCAAGCTCTCCTGTCCATTATGCTTCATTAATCTCTTCTTCTGCGTTGATTGCTACATTTTAATTTACAAAAAGGGAACGTACCAAATCATCTTCCTCTCTCTCTCGATTCAGTTATTCCAGGAAAAAAAAAAAAGCAAAAGTGACATTTCAGCTTTGAGATTTGGGAGTTTTTAAAGAGTAACTTCTTGCTCACTGTTGTAGGTGAAAATTTGGTTTCTTTCAGTGTTCCTACAGGCTCATTAGGAGTTTCATGCTTTGGCGGTGGTGCTATGTTCCCTGTTAAAAGGCTTTATTTAATCATGGTCTGAAAAACTCCGATGCCTATGGCAAGTTGAAACTTTCCCGGATAAGCAGCATCCTTTGCTGCGAAATCCGGTCTTTTTCATAGGTTATTTGGCATGTGAGACAGAAAATACTTCTTCCTGCCAACTGCCAGAGGGTTTGGGATGGCAGCTTCAAATTTATTAGATGTCCTACTAGCTGCAGGCTGATAAGCGGATGCCTCGAGATAGGTCCAGGGAACAGCATCGAGATAGGAATCCAAATATCCTCCCTTTTCCCAGCAGCGACGGGACAAAGGAATTGACATCTTATCTAGGTATTGTCCCCCTGCACGGGGACACCCATCTGCTCTTCGGGGATCTTGGGGGCGCGTTTTCTTTCCTCTCTGGCACGTCTCCATCCTCCCTTTGAGGTGGCGTCTTTGTGAGGACGCGGCTGGGATCTGCGGGCGGCGGAGGGGAGGGAACGATGGAGAGGAGACGGGGCAGGACAAGCATGGTGGGAAGAGGCTTTGGTGGAAAAAGTGCCAAAAGCAGGCAAAACTGGGAGGGGTGAAGAGAGCGAATGCAGGAACGACACAGAAAAGAGGTGTTAGAGGAGCAGGGAGGGAAAAAACAGGGGAGAAGCAGCGTCTGAATGTCTTGTAAAGCAAACAAAAAAAATTCTGAGATTAATAACAAAAGCTGGGAAGGTGCACCACAGCTGAAGAACTCACCCAAGAGAGCCCATCCAGCCTTGCACCGCACTCGTACACCTACAGTTTTTGGGGTAGATCACAGGTTTTACTTCCAAGGCGGTGATTTGGAGGGAGTGTGCACGGTGGCTCAGGCTCACTCATGGTGCTTCATTTCCAACTCACAAAAGGGTGTCAAGTCCTCAGCTGGGTATTTCTCACAGGCCCTGCTTGTGTCTGTTGGCAGTTGCCCCTCTACTTTCTTGTCCCAACATCCCCTCTCGGCTCCGTGTTTCTCCTCTTCCCCACCTTCACCTCCTCTGTCCCCGCTCAGGTGCTCCCGTAGCATCCCGTGCCCTGACCTGAGCTCCATGCCTGAAAGCAGAGCTGCATGGTAAATACCTGGATGTCCACAAGCTTGAAAGGTTCCCTGGAGATAATCCTGGAGGCATCTTCCCTGAAGAGCAGGTCCTGTTGATGCAGCTCCAGCAGCAGCTGGCACAGGCTTCTCCCCCCTGGTGGGATTCAGCCCCCGCCGATGCTTTCACCTCTCTAGGAAAATTCTCCCTTTTTAATTTTGTCTGGACATTGACGCAGTCCCTGCAACCCCTTTGCAACCCCCCTTTGTGGGGACAACCACAAACCAAGTCAAGAGAATACCAGTTTAACCAGAAATTAAGCCCGAGCTCAATCTGAACAGTCAGACGTACGAGCTACAAAATGCCTGGACCTTTTTTCCAGCAATATTCTGGCATTTCCATGTTATAGAATCATAGAATCATTCAGGTTGGAAAAGACCCTTGGGATCATGGAGTCCAACCATCAACAAAGTTCTCTACAAAGTTCTCTACAAAGTTCTCCCCTACACCATATCCCCATAAATGAATAGAAAGCATAGAATAAGCATCTTTTGGTTGAGATCACCAAAAGATGCTTATTTTGCTCTCTTCAGCCCAGACTGCAGTCCCAGGCTGTGTAGGTGACGGTCAGCGCTGTTTAGTTGCTGACTTTACCTTTTATCTTTAATTTTGTTCATTTCTTCATGACACAATAAAGCTTTGCTGTCTTTCGAGGATCCCCATTTACATATTTTTCAAGGAAGCGGTTCTTTAGTCCTTTTCTAAATATGTGCCCTGGTTCTAGACCAAGTGCTTCAAGTTTTTCACACTAGTAATTTGTTCTTTTCATAAAAGATATCTTTTATCTCTTCGGCCTGTTGTTCCTTTTATCATTTATAATTGCAAAATCTTGTTGTAACATGCTCCCTAAACACATTTCCCTTTTAAATACAGTGGAAGAACATCGGACTGGGAAAAAAAAAAAAAAAACAAACAACTAGAATAGTTTAAAATAAGTAATCTGTAGATTTGGAAAGATACTTGAAAATTTCTGAAATTACTTCAAATGAATGTTTTAATTGAATATTATTTTTTTTTTAATAAAGTGTAAATGTCCTGATAATCATATTCAGTCAAAGCCTTCCGACTTTAAATTAAATACTGGGTCAGGTCATTATCTGACACCAGGAACTGGTGGCTTCGACATTCCCATCTCGTCTATTACCTAAAATGGTGGTGTCAAAGGCAGTGCCTCTGATCTCAGCCGGCTATATTAAATTAAAGAAAATCAAATAATCTGATAGAAGCCTTCCCTTAGTCTGCAGCAGCCTTAAACCCTGTCATCTTGTTTAGATTCTTTTGGCACGGCCAGCCCCCTGGCTGGTGGTCACCTTGCCAGCTGAGTTCTCTGGGCGCTTGGGGAAGTCACCGCTGGGCTCCTGGTGGGTTTGGTTTCCCTCTGCCACTGAGGTGTCCCTCTTCCTTTCTCTTCCACCTCTTTGAAAAGTCTGTGGCCCCACGCTGTCCTTAGCTTGGTCGTGGTGTGAGTGTGCCACCGTGAGCTCCAGGGTGCCTTGGGGGGCACCATGGCCTGAGCACCACTGCATTTCTCCGTCAGTGTCGAGAAGGATTTAAAATGAGAAGTCCAGCTCCTTGTTGGAAAAAGTGGAGATGCTTTGAAGAGAATTCAGAAGTTCAGAACTGCTGCTGCTTTACCCTTCCCTGTTTTCTCTTCAGTCTGCTTCTTACCCCGTACCTTTCTCCACTTCATGGTGATCATGCTATGCTCTTCTACTTTGTTCACCTGCCTTGGTGCTACTTGGAGCAACCAGAGTCCAGATCATAGAACCATCTGTGGGAGCTCAAGGGGGAACAGAAAGGATGTTGCAGAGAGTCCTGAGTGTTTCTGTCCACTTGAAGCACCATCTGTCAAGTCCCAGCTCTGGTCACAGAATCACAGAATGCTATGGGGTTGGAAGGGACCTCTGGAGGTCATCTAGTCCAACCCCCTGCCAAAGCAGGTCCACCCAGAGCAGGTTGCACAGGAACGTGTCCACTGAATGTCTCCAGTGACAGAGATCTGGTGATAGATCCTGATTTGCCCGGGGAGAGATGTTCTTCTCCATCCATCCGACTCAAGCTGGGGCAGTTTGGAGGAAAGATGACTCTTCCAGGAACCAGTGAGAACAAGTGGAGAGGAGCCCTGGGAAGTCATGATGGTCAGCTGAAACAGAAGGGTCCTGTTTCACAGACTGCTGCTCATTCTTAACGCAACAGATCATAGAATCATCACAGAATGGCTTGAGTTGGAAGGGACCTTGAAGATCATCCAGTTCCCACCCCCTGCCCTGGGCAGGGACACCTCCCACCAGCCCAGGTTGCTCCAAGCCCCCTCCAACCTGGCCTTGAACCCCTCCAGGGATGGGGCAGCCACAGCTTCTCTGGGCAACCTGTTGGATGGGTCATAGAGATGGAAACTTCTTTCCATTTCTGTCACAGCAAGAGCCTTTCCCTGAAGCAGCAGAGGTCTGCGGAAGACGTTGATTAATTACAGAGGACTTGAGAGAGCAGCTGGTTAGAAAAGAGTAGCAGACATACAAAAAAAAAAGGACAACAGACTCCTAAAATGAGAATTATGTGGACTGTGGAGATAAAGATGTAAAGAACAGAACCAACTGTTTGACCTTTGTGTCAGCAGCGTCAGGTCTGGGGGTGAGGTTTAGTGTCCCTGGCCCAAACTTCCCCAAACTTCTGGTGTTCAGGATTATACATCTTAGTATTATGTTTAGGATCTCTTTTGTTTATATGGCATCTGAATGTACCCGTGTCCTGTAATTATAATTCGTATTTTTTTCCTATTGTGAAGTGTTTTGAAGTTCCTTTAGTTACTACACGTGTCTTTTTTCTCCAGACACCCTCCAGCCTTCTTTTTTTTTTCTCATTTTTACACGCGTTCATGCATACATGGGAAAAAATGTTGGTATAAGTCTGAACAAGTGTAGATAGCATTTGATAGGAGACTTAAAAGCGAGGAAATACAATGCAACTACATGTTCTCAAAGTACTAATCTAGCTTTTATGGACTTTAATTTCATTATATATTTGTATTGAAAATGTGAGTCAGGAGTTTTTCTGGGCTCTGCTTCACAATTCAGCACTCGCTATTTGATCTTCCTGAGGTTACCTACTCTTCTCTGTGCCATAATTTACCTACATCATCATCATCATAATTGTAATTATAATAATCGCCTGCTTCGTAAAACATTATGGGGCTCATTTACAAGTGATATTCATAAGCCACTCTGAGAAACTCGGTACAAAGATCCCATAAAAAGTATGAAGTATAATTACAATTATTATTTTATTTTAAATGTGTGTCGCTTGCAAACAGTGCTGGTTCAGGGTGGTGCAGCAGAGCCTGCTCTGGCTACACCTGAGCTCCACGCTGTCCCATATATCCCCCCCCTCATATATCACAGTCACAGAATGATCTGGGGTTGTAGGGACCTCTGGAGATCATCCAGTCCAACCCCCTGCCAGAGCAGGACCACCCAGAGCAGGTCCCACAGGAATGTGTCCAGGTGGGTTTGAATGTCTCCAGAGAAGGAGACTCCACCACCTCTTTGGGCAGCCTCTTCCAGGGCTCTGCCACCATCAAAGTGAAAAAGTTCCTCCTCGTGTTGAGGTGGAACTTCTTATCTTCAAGTTTGTGCCCGTTTCCTCTTGTCCTGTCCCTGAGAACACTGAAAAAAGACCGGCCCCATCCTCCTGACACCCACCCTTGAAGTATTTATAGATGTTGATGGGAAGGGGTGAGAGATGCCAGCTCCTGAGCCTTTCCCAGCTCCTTCTGCTTGGCCAGACCCATCCAAAACCAGCCCTAGGCTGGCTTTGCCTCCTGCTCTGTGCTCTGGAGAACCAGGGAAGAATTGTGCATTGAACTTGTGTGTGTTTTTCAGGCTTTTAGCCTGAGATCCAGCCCAGGGAACAGCCGCTGCTGAGGCCAGACTCTACCTTTATCATAGCGGGGGTTTCCAGCAGAGCCCCCTGTGCGTGTGTTGAATTGCATCAGTTTAAGGATAAATCCGTGAGGAGACAGAGGGAAATCTCCTTCCAGACTTATTTAACGATTTGCATTTTTTATCGTTAACTCGGCTTTTTCTCTAAAGCATTCATTTATTTTTATTTTTTTTTATAGTGATGTGGTGCATGTACATATGAAAATACTAACCTTAATGCTGTGTATTCCTACAGATGAGGATGAGGATGATGATAATATTGAGATAGATACTAACGAGGAGGTTCCTGAATGCTCTGTTACTGGAGGTGGAGATGAGCTTACTAACCTAGAAAATGACCTTGATTCAACGGGTAATTTAAATAATGGTTATTTTGTGTATTTTGCATGACTAACACTCCATCATCGTGTAAGTACTGATGTGCTGCTTCTCTCTGCCATAGCTTTGTTCCTTTGTGCCTTTTCTGGTCTTTCAAACCCTAATGCTTATTCTTTTTGAATATTTTGCCTTCGCCATCTCCTTGAAATTTAAGACGGGCAACAAAATCGTTATTTCCAACAATGGCAGATTGAAATGTCCCTTGCTCTTTGCCAGCACAGGGGACCCCAGGTATGATTGAGAAAGCAAAGGCACCTGAAATCACTCTCCCTGGCTCGTCCCAGCGAAGGAAGGCAGGGGGGGCAGAGGGGTGGGCAGCTCTCTGCGCTGGCATCTGGTCCAGGGGCTCAGGGAAAGAGGAGGAGCAAACGGGTTTCCACCTAAGCTTGGTTTCCCCCTCCTCCCTTCCTGGGGACCAGTTCTTGTAGTTCCACCCTCTTGCTCCAGTGGGGAGGTACAAATCTGAAGAGAATCAGTCCTGTTTCCTTTAGAGAGTTCAAGTAATGGATTTTGAAAAAACATGTTTTAGAAGCGTTCATGTTCTCATAGAAATGCCTGTATCATCTCAGCACGTGCTGGGCAAGTAATAATAAATCATGGTAGTGGTATTTCCCCTGTCAAAAATAGTAATTGAGCAAAACCGGGGTTCAGGTCCCTCCGTAGGTGATAAAACATGTCAGGATCTTACAATGGAGATGCTTAATTAAAAAGGCGCTAGGTCTTCCAAGGTGTGCAGGTAATTGCCCATCTTCTGAACGAGAACTTCTGGCAGCATCCTCTCACCTGGTTCTGCTCGGGCTGACTGGACCCAAACTTGTAGCCTGTAATACACGAAATCAGGGGAGATGGAGCTGAGATGTGGGGAAGAACTTGTTTGGTGTGAGGGTGGTGAGAGCCTGGCCCAGGTTGCCCCGAGAAGCTGTGGCTGCCCCATCCCTGGAGGGGTTCAAGGCCAGGTTGGAGGGGGCTTGGAGCAGGAGGTGTCCAGGGCAGGGGGGGTGGGACTGGATGGCCTTTAAAGGTCCATTGCAACCCAAACCATGCCATGATTCTGTAATTCTATGACTTCATTTAGTGTTTGCTCTTTGTCAATCAAACCAACAACGATGTGTAGATAGCACTTTCTTTCTAGCCTTTTTTGAATGCAAAAGATTTGAGTCATGTCCTTTATTTTTTTATTTGAGGATTTCCAAACACGTAAGAAAATAAATGTAGTGTTTTCAGCATTTGAATGAAGCTGATTTAGAGCAGAATCCTGTCAAATAATTTTCCAATAAATACTGGTTCATTTTAAAGAAATGGAAAATCAGTAAATGAACGTTCCTGTCACGTAGCTCCAGTGACATTTATTTCTGGGCGTCTTTTATCTTGAGAGATACCTTCTCAGGGGTACAAACAACTTGGAGCAACCTGGTCTGGTGGGAGGTGTCCCTGCCTGTGGCAGGGGGGTTGGAACTTGATGATCTTTAAGGTCCCTTCCAACTCTAGCCATTCTATGATTCTGTGAATCTAAACCCTGCTCCCCAGCTCTTGGTCTCCACCATCAGAAGATGCTCTGGACAAAACCCATTTTGCAGTTGAGACAAACGAGTCAGGAAGGGGGTGGGCAGTGATACAGAAAGCAGTCTAATGCTGCGATAGAAATCAGTGTGCCCAGATTTCGGTGGGATCCTGCCAATTGGTACCAAGTTCTAATGAAGGCTGAATCTCCTGGGAGCACCTGAAGGCAAAACTGCAAGGGACATTTCACGTTTGGGACTACTACGAGCATCTTAATGAATTTGTCCCCCGCTGAATCTTGGTCCCTCCCATCTCTCTCAAGAAGAGAAAACTTTTTACTTTTATTTTCTCTGCCAGTTGTTGGTTTTAACTGTCGCCATCTGTCCTGCCTGTGTCAGCCCTGCTACCCCTCCGCTGCCCTCAACGTGCCTGATAAAATGTCAACCTCTTATATCATCCTTACTGCGTGGTGTTTGTGCAGAAGCCCGGGAGAAGGTGCATGTACTTACACGTGAGCGCCTCAATTAAGGGCACCCTGCCTGGGAGGAGAGGGAAACCATCCTTCGTCACAGCCCAGCCCAGCCCGTTGCTGCTGGAGGTGGGCACCCTTGGGTTCCCAGCACGCCACAAACTTATTTTGGCCGGGGTGAACAAATCTGTGCTCTCCAAAACCTTGGAAGGAGCCATGAGGCAGCAACGCAAGCCCTGTCTCCGCTTCCCAGGCCGGCCAGATGTGAAAAATTCAGGCTGGCAAAAATTCCATGGCAAAAAAACCCTACCCATCACTGTTCCCTCCTGGTTTTCACCCCATGCCCAGATGTGGGGGCATCGTACCCACAGGTGACCCCCTTCCAGGGGTCATTTCTGGCCGAGGGGCTGCCCGTAAAGTGTGTCCTGGTGTTAATTCTGCCCTCCTGCCCTGGGTTAGCAGTGCTGTGTTCTGTTATTAACACCCTTCTCCTCGTTAGTGATGTGCGTGTGGAGGCAACCGCGCGTGGAGCTGTGTTACAGGTTCACCCACTCAGCAGTTCTCGTGTAGAATGAGCCTTTTTTGGGAGATAAAACTCTCCGCTCTTCTTCTTCCCTCTGCTCCAGGTTGCTAAAAACCCATGAAAAAATGAAATCTGGGGGGCTTTGGCACATTTTGAAACTGTCCCTTCGAAGCGGCTCAAAGACAGATTTTTACGGCTTCGATGTGGTCTATAAATCCCAGTAAATATCACTAGAAAGCTGTCTTTTCATACCGAAATTTTAACACTGAGAAGCTGTGCCAAGGAGCCTGAGGGTGAATTAGTGGTTCATAAACCCCAGGGGTTATCAGTACGTATGTGATAAATTGCTGTACGTCATCTTAAAATAAATGGCTCTTTAAATGTGGTTTTATGCCAAAGTATAGGTACGTACAGGTTGGGAGTAACTTAAAGTAAACATTGTCTGCTTTCTGCTTTTTTTCGTTTACTGTCTTCAAGCACGCTTACTTATTCAGCTGAGAGAGGTCCATACATTTTTTGAGAGAACTTGGGCATTATCACAAATCTACGCAGAAGAAAAAAATGCTTTTCCTTCTAGTTTTTACATTTTTAGTTGGGAATGATGGGGAGGTGAATGGAATCTACCTTTGAAATTGCTGTAAATTCACATTGTTGTAGCGACTCTGCATTTAAATGCATCTCACTCTGTTGTGTGTGGTATTTGCATATTTAGCAGAACAAAACAGTAAGTTGGTGGATTTGAAGCTGAAGAAGCTCCTGGAAGCTCAGCCACAGGTGGCAAATTCACTCTCCGGCGCTGCTCAGAAAGCTGTAACTGATAGCTCGGAGCAAGACATTAAGGTAAGTTTTGATTAATGCTTTTGTCTCAGTACCTGTGTGTTCCGATTTGGGGTTCGTACCTCGTGAGGAGGAAAATGATTTCTTATCAAATCCTCGGCGGTAAGAAAGGCAGAAAATCTTCGTGGCGAGGCGCGCTGGGTTATTCCTGTTGGTTAATCAACACGGTTTTCCATTTTTTATTTATTTTTTATTTTTTTTTTAAATCCTGATACTTGTCACTGGCACATAAGGGTAGGAAGCCTTTCTCTGTTCTTCTTGCTCAGGTAAATCAGAAATACGAGTGGTGCCACCGGCAGGGAGGCTCTCCCTGACTTCCCCGGCAGCAGGATTGGACTCGCAGTGATTTGCTGCCCTCCCTCCCTCCCCAGCCTGACCCTCTGGTTTTTCTCCCCGTTAAAACAAATCCGTGGTTACACTTTAAAAGGCACACACATTTGGACGCTTGACAACCAGCACTTCTGAGAAAAATAGGCAAGAGTGTGCCGTGGTTTTGCCTGTCCTTAACGTTCACCGCTTCGGCATAAAGCGCTGAATCAACCAATCAACTTCCCATTTCATTTTCTTAATTAGGCTCCTTGTGTTCTTACTATCCTATGTTGGGGTTTTTTTTGTTGTTTTTTTTTTTTTTAAAAAAAAAAACAACTAGTCCCTGTATGTCATTAATATCCCTATGGCTCAGGGGCACTTCCAGTTGGGTATAACTTTTCACCCACCTGCAGTCTGGGGGGAAAGCGCTGCTGACTGAAAGGATTTCCTTCCCCAGATACAGAGATGCTTTGAAGTCCCAAAACAATGACTTTCATTGCTTTTCCCCTTACACTGTCGGTTCCTATAAATTGGTGATGAAAGTGTGTGGCAGCAGCAGAGGACTTTCGGTCTCTATCTTTGAACAAAAGGAAGCCTGGATCAAGTCTGATTTTTGCGTTCAATTTAGCTTTCTGCAGTGGATTTAATGCAAAATGAAGCTGGCCCAAGAATAATACAATGGATTGAAAAGGCTAACTGAATTAGTGGGCTTAGAGGAATACATTTGTAAAGTGGCAGAAGTCCCCAGTCATAAAAAGGTTTCTTAAAATGGGATTTGCTGGCTAATCACACCGATATTTTAGCATGTTGCCAGGCCTAAAAAAATTAGTCGCATTTGTTTATTTTGGTAAAGGCTCCGGTTTGGGCTGTCAGATGGTTGTTGTGCTAATAAGAGGAAAACCACCCCTTTTATTTAAGCAGAATCATAACCACCTGATCAGAGCAAGCTGAAAACTCATCCGGAGAGGAGGAACGATACTTTTTTTTAAGCTGAATTCGCCAAATGGCACAGGGGCCTCCTCTTCAATATCCCCCCCGACACCAGGGAAAGGGCTGTTTCTCTTCATGAAAGGCTTCCATGCAGGAGTTGGCCTTTTTTTTTATTATTTTTAAGGTGCTTTCTCCCACAAAAGGTGCGACTTAACACTTTATCTCTGCCCAGGTCTCCGTGAGGCAAGGCAGGGCCGGGCCTGCGGCGTGAGGGATAGACGTGGTGTCCATCTGTTCTTGTGGAGCTCCCGGCGTCTGGGGGTGGGGGGGTGGTGGATGGATTTGGTTTTTTTTTTTTTTTTTAATAAAATGCGTTTTACACGTTTCTAAATGAGGCATTCTGTGTTTGTGGAAAAAGGATAAACTGTTACCTTCCCTCGGGGATTGTGTATCCCCGGCCTCCTTGAGGCTAGAGAATAGGCCATTGGAGAACTCCCTCATTACCGATTGTCTCAATGCAGAGGAAGGGCAAAGTCTTGGTAGCTTTTGATAACCAGTTTCAGCATTCAGCAGGCTTAGCTATTAGTCATGCATCTTAGCCTTTCCCTATTTACTTTCAAAACACTTAATAAAAATAATAAAAGATTAGGTGTAAAATGAAATATTTGTTTGGTACACAGCACCTCGGTATCTGCCGTTTCCACACACGGCGGTGGTTCGGTCTTCTGGGATATTTCGCCGTTGATAGAACCATTTGAATTTGTTACCAGTATTAACATAGGAAGCCCTGGAAAAAGATAATTGTAGTTTCCTTCGCTGTAAAGGGCTTACTTACAAATCTGGCTTTGGAAAGTTATAGCTGATGAAATGCAGTTCAGTGGGGTAGTATTATAATCCTACCTTTTAGCCTTCATCCAGCATTAGTGGTTTATCTCAATGGGCATAAAATTAGAAACTAGTTCTTCTTGTCGTACAAGTCTGTGGGACTACAGAAAAAAAAAAAAAAAAAGAAAAAAAAGAAAGAAACCTGACAGATTTCTTTGCCGGGCAGGGAAGAGGGGCTGAAGGCAACACGCTTCTCCACGGACAGGGATCGAGTTCAGGGGTAGAGATGCCGCGACTTGGCAGCAGCAGCTCACCCGGCACTTGGCAAATCCGAGGAGTTGCAAAGGAGTGATTTGGGGTTTTTTTTTTCTTTTTTTTTTTTTTTTCCCCCTGGTTAAAATGGGAATCGCTGGCAAACGCTGCTCGCAATTAATAGGGCTGGCTGTTGAGGAAGCGAGCGGAGAGTCCTGCAGGAGGGTGCCCACCTAGGGGAAAGCCAGTCGGTTGCCACCACACATTAAAACAAACCAAAAAAAAAGAAAAAAAAAAGAGGAAAAGTTAATCACTCTTCTCCTTTTTCCTTTTTTTCTTTTTTCCCCTGCAGCTGATACTTTCATCCTCCCCAAGTTGTGAAACCCCCTTTGCAAAACCTGCGTCCTGTCCCCTTGCCGAAACCTACCTTTCCAATTCGGGTCTTCTCCCCCCCACCCCTTTGTAAACAAAAGAAAACTGTTGTGTGTCTGGGTTTTGTTGGGGTTTGGTGGTTTTTTTTGTTGTTGTTTCTTTTCTTTTTTTTTTTTTCCTCCTAGCAGAATGGAACAGAGGAACATCGTGCTGAGCGATTACAAAAAGCGGCGGAACGGTTTAGAAATCCCGTTGTGTTCAGCAAGGACTCCACCGTCAGAAAAACTCAGCTCCAGTCCTTCAGTCAATACGTGGAGAGCAGACCAGGTAGGAGCAAATATAAAGCCTGTTTTTTTTCCCCCCTCCCCATCTTATGATTTAATAATATTTAACAATAAATATATGAAAACCCGATAATGTAAGCCCGCATTTCAATACATAAATATCAAGCTTTATAATAATTTTACATGTCTTTCCCCTTTTTTCAAGAGATGAAAAGGCAGAGATCAATACAGGAAGATACAAAGAGAGGAAATGAGGAGAAGGCTGCGATAACTGAGACTCAGAGGAAGCCATCAGAAGATGAAGTGCTTAATGTATATTAATTTTTTGTCTGGTTTCATGATTGCTGATAATTCCAAACTGTATGTGGAAATAGTGCCTTTATTTGTTAAAATGAGATGTTAGGTTTTTTTAGATGTCAATCTCCAGTGCATTCAAAGCAGAGTGAGAGGGGTGCACTGTTGAATTAGTCTGCAGTGTGGTGATAATTGTCAGATAAAAAAAATGAATTTTTCAGAGTTCCACAGCCCCAGCTTCCTTGAGACATTTCCATCAGGGCACTTCCCATAAAGAGATTCCAGTATTGATCT